GAAGGAAATAAAACCTGCCCCCTCCCCTTTTCTCCTACCCTCCTGCCCCCTCCCCTTTGCATACCCACGCCAAATCTGAACTTTTGGCGACTTAAAAGAGACGTGGTGCACCAGGATAGCTTTCGGTACGTCAAGTACTTCAAAGTGAACTCTAAAAGTCGCATAGTGAGACCTACGCCACGTAAGAGCGAACTAAGGCGGCGACCAACAGCGAACTCTTAGCGACCCCGGCAGAATGTCGCGTTTGACTCGTCAGGACGAACTTAGCCCGCACCTTTAGCGGACAGAACGTTTTGGGTCGGGTGAACCCGACCGATCCCGAACACTGGCGGTCGCATGTGCGCGGGCGCGTCGTCTCTTATATATTTTCTAATTTATATCTACATGGCAAATTGTGTCATTTGTAAGGCACAAACTGTTCCTTACAACTAGCTATATGGAGACGATGGTAACTGCGCGAGGTTTGCAACTGCGCGAGGTTTGCAGCTGCGCGATGCCAATGTGAAGCGTTTGTAAGTTTTATATCTACATGGCAAATTGTGTCATTTGTAAGGCACAAACTGTTCCTTACAACTAGCTATATGGAGACGATGGTAACTGCGCGAGGTTTGCAACTGCGCGAGGTCGGTGACTGCACGAGGATTGCAACTGCGCGAGGACTGCAACTGCGCGAGGAGTGCAACTGCGCGAGGTAAATTATGCTGTTTGCAGCTGCGCGTGGTTTTCAACTGCGCGAGGTATGTAACTGCGCAAGGTTTGCAACTGCGCGAGGTTTGCAGCTGCGCGATGCCAATGTGAAGCGTTTGTAAGTGCGCGAGGTTTTCAGCTGCGTGAGGTCTGCAGCTGCGCGAGGTCCGTTTTGCGCCCTTTGCAACTGCGCGATGTTTGCAACTGCGCGAGGTCGGCAACTGCGCTTGGTCTGCAACTGCGCGTGCTCTGCAACTACGCTTGGCCAGCAACTGCGCAAGGAGTGTAGCTGCACGTGGTCTGCAACTGCGCGAGGTATGCAACTGCGCGAGGTATGCAACTGCGCGAGGTCAATTTGCGTTGTTTTTAACTGCGCGTGATTTGTAACTGCAGGTGGCTACAACTGAGCGAGTGAACTAAAGCAACGCAACGTAATCCAACCACACATAACCCAACCGAACGTTACCGAAAGAAACCTAACCTAACGAAACCATATGCAACGAAATCTAACCTAACGAAACCTAACCTAACGCAACCTAACCTAATAAAACCTAACCTAACGAAACCTTACCTAACGAAACCTAACCTAACGCAACCTAACCTAACAAAACCTAACCTAACGAAACCTTACGCAACGAAATCTACCCTTACCTAATGCAACTA